AATCAATAAAAACTCTACAAGAAAAGGAGGCAGTTCCTGAATTCTCCCAACCCCGCTTTCCATGTAGTACTTTAGCCAGCAGATTAATTTTCTCTTGGGCTTACAACTCAGTTGATCATTCATAGTTAAAAGACTAGTTTAAGGCTTTTTAGGGACAACTTATTTTTCGAGAGAGAGAGAAAGAGAGAGACAGAGAGCTCTGTTTGTTGACTGCTGCCTCTCAAAGGAGGATTCAGTAGACACCAGCCTGAGTGTACAGCTCAAATTCACTCGTGTTCCATGTTTATAGTCTTACTTGTTTGCTGCTAGTATGAAGGTCCCAAGCTTGCCAGGTAAGATCCTTACATGGAGGGACCTGTAGTATGATCTGTGATCTCACTATTAATGATTGTTCTTTTCCTTTTATCTCCTATGCAGAACTGCTTTTCTTTGCATTTCTGCCATTTCTGGGAGTCTTGAAATGTAACCTGTTTAACAAAATATAGTTATCTACAGTCAGTGCTAGTCACTGCAGGCTTTCCTTTTAGTCAATAGAGAGAAATGGGCACTTGTGAAGCACAATTCATCTTAGCCTGAAGTAAAACTGTGACATAAGTTGAATGAATCGTGCTTAAACAAATGTGCATTTCTCTCTTGGCTATAAGAGGGTGATTAGCTCAGAGGCAGATGTCTACACTAGTTTTGCCTGGGTATAACTCATTCCTGTTAACTATAGACTGTATATAAGCAAGATTACATACTGCCAGTTTTACGTGCTGGGTAAGACGGGATGGTTCCTCTCTACCAGTTTGATGTTTTTAGCCTAATGTCAGGGAATTATCTCTTAATGGGAAGCCTGCAGCTAAATGTACTTTTGGAAATAACAGATAGAGACAAGGCTTTTAAGAGTATGAGAGTTGTGCAGCCAGTATTTTAGGATTTTTGATTTTTTGAGAATATACTCCTGCCCAGAAGCATGACATGCTCTTTTCCATCTGTAGAAAGTCATCAAGATCTGACTTTTTGATCTTACTTGCTACCTGGGTGATAACCTTCCCTTTATGCAGTTCTTGGGCCATGAAGAAGCTCATGCCATATCTTCATCTCCAGTACCACTCTCCCCCAATAGATTGCTCCATTAATTTCTCTTTCAGTCCAATCTATAATAAACACCGTCTCCTTGCCAATCTGCTAATCCGAGTTCCTTGGAAGAGAACTGTGCAGAAACCCTCTCCATTTCTGGAATGCTGCAGCACAAGATGAGCAGAGAGCCGTTAGCATTTTTGTGGGATGACAGCACGTTCTGAGAGTCCGTGTTGGCTGTAGCTGTAGCAGATATATCCAGTTTTTTGGAAGTGGTCCTCTTTGGTTGTTTTAAAACCCTGGGTTTTCCAAGATGTCATACATGCAGCAGTACTAGCAGTGCTGTAGTTTTGCTGCCTCAGCAGCTAGTGATGACTCCCCAGAATGCGTGTGAATCTGCTGCTGTACTGAGCTGTACGTCTAGGTGAGCCGTCTGAGATGAGAATCCTGCAAAAATCTCATTGTAGTGTCTCCATTCTGGCTGTAGTGGAAAGTTAGAGAACTAGCTAGATTCATTTCTGACTTCTGGAAAGGTTGAGTTAGATGAGATCAAACCTGGCCGAAATGCTGATGTTTGTTCTCATTTTTTTATGATTTGTGTTTCAGCTAAACAGCATTTTTGACTCGAGCTCCACTTGTCAGTCTAGCACATGTTTCTACTATTTGCATGGTTGATGTAACCGCCTGGCACTATGAAAATTTCTATATTTACCCATGCCCTACCCGTGGACGTGCTAGAAACAGAACAAAATGAGTTCTAGGGGAAGAGAGAGACTAGGCACAATCTCCTGGTACCAATATTTTGGTGAACTTGATAGGAGTCAGTGGCAACACCATAGAATGGAAAGAGCGAGTAGATCTATTTACTTTTTGAAATAATAAATGTTTTGTTGCTTTTCAGGAAAGTGTGGAAAGATGGATTATTGGCCCCACTGAAATTAAACAAAGAGATAAAATGTTGTTATTAATGAAAGATTTAGGGAATCTTTAGTATTTATGCAAAGTATATAAACGTGGACTCAGGCAACAATATCAA